CAATGGAATTATTCCCACAGGAATTATCGCTGATGGAATTATTCCCAACGGAGTTATTCCCAAAGGAATTATTATTCCCACAGGAGTTATTCCCTGCTTTCCGGTTGGTTCCAGGAAGCTAACAGCTCCATTTCCCAGGTTTTGGATGGAAAACCAAACACATCAGAGCTGAAATTGCTGCTCTACAGCTGGGGCTGCACCACAGGATCACTGAGAAAGCTGCCAGGCCATCGAGTCCAACCAACTGGTGCCATCCCACCGTGTCCCCATCCCAGAGCCCTGAGTGCCAGCTCCAGGTGTCACCTGCAGGGATGGGCACTGCCACCCTCCCTGGGCAGTGCATGAGCCCCCTTTCCATGGGGAAATTCCTGCTGTGCCCACCCTGAGCTGCCCTGGCCCAGCCTGGGGCCGTTCCCTCTGCTCCTGTCCCTGTTCCTCCCCCAGCTCCTGCTGGACTTTCCTGGAGGAGCAGAAGTTCCCCCTGAGGTTCCTCTCCCCAGGTTTTGGTGGGTTGGTGCAGAAGGGAACCGTGCACAGATTCCAGTCCCTGGCAGCGCCAAATTCCCAGGAACAAGCTGGTAATTATTCCAATAACAGGGATTGGCACCCACACAGATCCAGGACATTCTGCAGGCTGCAAAAACCAGCAGGGAGGAACTGCGAGCAGGGAATGGTTTTTCAACCAGACACAAGTGAGAGCTCCCAGCCAAATCCAGTCACAACAATTAACCGTAAATTGCAAATTATTATTAAAAATTACTGAAAAAATTATCTCTGTTTTGAATCACAAATGCAAAATCCGTGAGTTCTGCTGTATATATTTATTTAGAAAGATAATAATCTCCTAAAGATAATAAGAAATGCTTTACCAAACACTTGGAGATGGCCTTTCCAGTATTTTCTTAAAACTAATCAAGTTCGAAATCCCAAGTTTCCTTTTATAAACAAGGTCATAAAATGCCTTAAAAATCTCCCAGGAAATTCATGGAAATTTATTCAGTCTGGTATGAGAGAGTAAATCTCTGTTATGCTTGTGGATCCTTCCCCAATCCATGTACATTTTAATTAAGCCCATTAATTTTACAGGATTGCTGCTTGTTTGTTGCTGGATTGTTGCTCTGAAGAAAGCAGCTTTTTTTTCTATGGAAATTAAATTCCAAGAGCTTCAAAGTAAGTTTTTTATACCAACCAGCACTGAAACCAACACTGAGAAACACAAACCATTTCCTGCCACATAGAAAGCTTGGTTTGGTTTTCTCGTTTGTGTAACACCATGAAAAAAATATTTATTTTATTACTGGTCCACTGGGAAAATCTACATGCTTCCTCATGCTCAGTGTCATTCCAAAGGATCCTGATCCATTACCTACTATCTAAGACTGTTGGAGGAATTTCCATTTGTCATTGTGGCTTCCAGGCCAAATTTCCTAATTTTCTGGTCATTATTGATTTGATTTTTTGCAGCAACTCTTCCACCTCTGATGTTCGATTTTATCTCAATCTTTACCAGCACTCAAGAACTCAAAGCCAATTAAAACATCCTCAGGGAAACATGGGTTTGTAGTTTGACAAATATTCCATGAAACTGCTCAGGACTGGGATTGAAAGCTAAGAATCCTAAAAATAAGGAATGGTTTGGGCTGGAAGGGACCTAAATCCCATTCAGTGCCATGGCAGGGACGCCTTCCACTGTCCCAGGCTGTTCCCAATGTCCAACCTGGCCTTGGGCACCTCCAGGAATGGATATCCACAATTTTCCTTGGATATTATTCTCCCTATTGGCACAAAATCCACACAAAACCCATCACACAACAAGTTCAGCAATGCAGACTTGATCTCTGTGCTTTCTGTCTAAATTACCGTCAGCATTGGGAAAAAAAAAAAAAAACCCAACCAAAAAACAACTTACTTCAGTTCAGGGACTTAAATTGTCAGAAGAATTCCTTGTGTCTCCATAAAGGCAGCATAAATCCTGGCAAAAGCCATTCTCCACCCAAAACAACTCATTCTCCAGGTTGTGTTTTCCCAGGCTGCCTCCGGAACCTGCCTGGGAGGAAAATGAAGAACGAGTACATGAAGGAAATCATAATTTACAAGATGTTCTGAAGCCAGGCTGCATTTAAAACAACTGGAATTTGAGATTCGCTTGTCAGGGAGAAAAAAAAAAGAGCTAACAAGGAAACCATGTAAATGCAGTGCATTTGTTGTGCTCCTGCTAAAAATGCTGGAGGTGTCTGACAAATCCCCATAACGAGCTCCCATCTGCAGGTGGAAGGAAAGGGAATCTTGTTCAGGGCTGCAGGGAGTGGGAGAGCAGGGAAAACCTGGAAAAGCAGAGGCAGCACCAACAGGAGCTCTGAGCCTCACTCTGTGTTTTCCTTGGAATCCAGGGAATAAACTGATTATTTGTTGGGAAAATAATTCTGTGTCAAGGAGGGGAAGGGCTCATGGCTTGTGAGGTTTGTGCCCTCTGGCAGTAGCATTGGATTTGTTTAGAAAGATGACAGCAGAGGTTTGTGCCCTCTGGCTCTAAGGGAAGCAGATCCCAGAATCCCAGACTGGTTTGGGTGGGAAGGGACATGGAAATCCATCCCTAAATCCCACCCTGCCATGGCAGGGACATCTCCCCCTGTCCCACATCCCTTGGGCACTGCCAGGGATCCAGGGGCAGCCACAGCTGCTCTGGGCACCCTGTGCCAGTGACACAGAACAGGGTAAAAGACCCAAAGTAGCAAAGTTGAAGGAAAATATTTTGAAATATTATTTTAAATAAAAATAAAATTCCCGCCAGTTAAGAGCAAAGCCAAGCCCCAAAGCCTTGAGGTTCTCCATGAGTGCAGAGGGAGAGCATCCTAGAGTGAATCCAGGTTTGATCCACACAGGAGCTGGACTCTGTGGGTCCCTTCCAGCTCAGGATATTCCAGGAGTTCTCTTGCCTGGCACTGCCACCTTCACCTTCACCTGTTCACACCACTCGTGGCTGTTGCCCCTCCAGACCCAATTCCAAAGTGCATTTTTGTGCCATTCAGGTGTCCAAGGTCCCTTTTTGGGTTCTCTCCTTTCCTTCACCAGAAAAGAACATCTTCTCTGAATCACAAAACAAACAAGGTCCAACTAAACCTCACAGAATTGTGGAAATCCTGAGCTGGGACCCACAGGGATCATCCAGTCCAGCTCCTGACCCCGCACAGGACATCCCAAAATCCCACCCTGTGCTGACAGCATTGTCCAACCCCAGCAAAGGCTTGCCCATGGTGAATTAAATCAATATTTGGGAGACAAAATCTCAGTCCTACACAATTTTGTCTCCCCCACTGCCAGTCCAGGCCTCAAAAATCAAGCAAAAATCCCAACTCCTCCTTCCAGGCTCACTCTAAACCCTCCCAACAATTGCTCCTCTCCATTTCCAGCTTTTCGCCCAAGGCTCCTAAAACATCATGCGGGGATTTGGGAGCCCCATTTGAAACAAATTGTTTTAATTAAAGCACTAATTTCCAACCCCGAGAGATGTAAACTATTAAAGAGCTGCCAGGAGGGAGAGGCGCTGATGGAGAGCAGCGAGCAATTACAGCCAAGCTGCTGCTGGTTCTCTGGGTGAAGGGCTGGGAAAGCAGAGCCAGGCGTCCTCATCACCCCCAGAGCCTGCCCAGAGCCCGGGATCCCCCTCCCAGAAAGGCTCAGCATTCCCAAGCTCAGGATCCCCCTCCCAGAAAGGAGAACACCCAGCTGGAAATCAACCAGAGAGTGGCATCTAAAAATAAATATATTCGCATTTTCCACTCTGATCTGCTGAAGTGCAGAAGCAGATGGAATGGTTTGGTTGATAAGGGATCTCAAAGCCACCCCTGCCATGGCAGGGACACCTCCCCCTGTCCCAGGTGCTCCAGCCCCAATGTCCAGCCTGGCCTTGGGCACTGCCAGGGATCCAGGCCCTGCCCACCCTGCCAGGGAACAATTCCTGCCCAATATCTCATCAAAATTTACCTTTTTTTCAATTTAGCCACATTTCAGGGACTTATCCTTCTCAAGAAAACCACCCTGTTCTGGAAGCCAGGAGATGCAAATTTCACTTCTAGGCACCATCATCTCTCCTGAAATAATCCAGAATTACCTATATTTGGAAACACACACACACAGGGAAAAGAAATAAAAATTTTAAAGCCATTTTTGCAATATGGATTGCTGGTGAGGAAGACAATTCAGTTTGTGTTCAACAACTCAGCTTCTCAGAGTGAGAAGCAAAGCATGGCAGCACAACTCCCGAGGGAGGAAAAAGTAAGAAAACAAAAAAATTGAAAACCCCAGAACTTTCCCCAACCGAAACCTCCATCTCTTTCCTGTCAATCACAGCCAGATTTCCCCCGGGTTTCTCCTCAGGGAGCCCGGAGCAGCTCTGTGCACCCACAGCCCCCCGAGCCACTCATTGCTCCTGGGAATTCCCGTCAGCCGCGCGCTCTGGAGACAGCCGGGAGGAGAAAAGTGGGATTCTTGTTAACAGCTCCCTCCTTGCTCACTCCAGGCTCGTTACATCCCAGCAATATCAAGCAGCCACTCCAGGCAGTGCCATGTGGAGCCTTTTCCCTCCTCTCACAACCCCGGTGTCACCAAGGCACACGAGCGGGTGGCGCTGCACTTTGTCACAGACATCTTTTATGGAAAATCCTTTCCTTAGGAGTTTTCCTCCCGAGAAGCTGGGAGGCCTCAGGAACAACATGCAAACAATGGTTATCTGCTGCTGTGGGATGCAACAGGTGCATCTGGGATTGGTCTCATGTGGTTGTTTCTGATTAATGGCCAATCACAGTCAGCTGGCTCAGACAGAGAGCCGAGCCACAAACCTTTGTTATCATTCTTTGCTATTCTATTCTTAGCCAGCCTTCTGATGAAATCCTTTTTTCTATTCTTTTAGTATAGTTTTAATGTAATATATATGATAAAATAATAAATCAGCCTTGTGAAACATGGAGTCAGATCCTCGTCTCTTCCCTCACCCTCAGACCCCGGTGAACACGGTCACAGTACTTCACCCGTAACTCTCCTGCAAGAATTAAACAACATTAAACAGAATCACCAGGGCTGGAATCATGGGCAAATCAGGCCTCTTAGATCCCACTGAAGGATGTTTAAGCAGACATCCCACAAGGGCAAACTGACAAATTGAGGTTTCCCGCTGCAATCCCGGGGACAGCGGGAGAATGCTAAGCAGGGATCCAAGCGACGCGGCGCAGCAAAACGTTTTGCCTTATTTTTAATTTAAATGTAGTAACAGAGATGAGGAGCCTGGAGGCACCAATCAAAGCCCACAGGATGATTAAGTCCTCTGAGCACACCGAAATCACCACTGCCCAGCACCGCTCGAGTTGTCCAAGGAGGAATTCTCTCAGCACAAAGTCGCTTGCTGCCTTTCATTTTTTTAAAAGTGTTTTCCAAAAACACGATTTCTCTGTGGCAAAGGAACCCTTTGAAGCGGCCCAAATAGCCTTTGAAGTGAAAATAGAGGAGTCATTCTGTATTCATGCCCCCTTTTTCCCTCTCCCCCCTCCCAAAAATGAAGGTGTAGGACTTGGTGAAAAATTCATGTCCTGGAATAGGCGGCCTCGGCTGGTGACATCAGAGGCATTCAGGGGAACAAAATGGCACTAAAATGGGAGTGGAGAGATCCTCGGGTGCAAATCAAAGACTCTGGATGGAAATGCTGCTTAATTAGTGCAGATAAAGAGGCACGAACTGGCAGGCAGAAGGTTGCAAGGCAGAAAATTCAGGAGGCATTAATGGGCTGGTGAAAATGTCGCTCTTTGGAGCTGCCAGCCTCGCTTAGAAAGCTAAAAAATTTATTAAACCTCGGTGAATGTTGCTTTTCTCAGTCACAGAGGCCATTAAGAACTCCGGGAAGTGGTGGATGCCACACAGTCCATTAGCAGCTGGATGTTAACGCTGTTCTCTCCCTCCTTCCATCCCCATAAATGTATTTCTCTCCTCTAATATTTCCTAAGAGGCTCCTGTGGCACAGATTTTCCCTTGTATGTCTTTCCTCAGCCTCAGAACAAATGAGACTGGCTGGTCTCACTCAAAAACTGAAAGTTTTCAGGTAGTTCTCTGCGGAATGATGAAATATCCCACAGGTTCCAGAAAGCAATTGGTAAATACAGGCTCCTGCTTCCATAAAAAGCAATTTATTAAACACAAATGTTCGGCAATGTGAAGTGTTTTACTGCTGCAAATTCAATACTGCTCGAAACACACTCTGAAGTCAATAACCCAGCAGTAAAAGCAGCAGCACACACACAAATGTCTCATCTTATTCCACAAGCCACCATTTCCTCCCACACAAAATTCCCATCAAAACATCAGCTTCGAATTCTTACCTGAGCTGTCCAGTTGAAGAAGCAGCAACTTGTTTTTTCATTTTTTTTTTTTACTTTTTTCTTTTTTAATAATTCCTCAGCACTTAAATCCCTTTTCATGTATATTGGATGTTTAGGAAGAGGGAAATAGTCTTCCTGGGAAAGAAAAAAAAAATCATGCAAATAAATCATGCAACAGGAAAGCTCATAAATCTGCATTTATATTGGAAGTAAAACTGAACTCACCAGAGGTGATTTACTGCCTCTAATAATGAATGTGACTATTGGGTCCTTAGATTTTCATTAGTGTGGTGAAAGAATTTATTTTATGTGCAAATATTTAAATACTCGTAGAAAGCAAATGTAAAACTATTGCAAATATTAAGCCCCCAATTACTTCGAGTTATGTGAAAATTCATTGAAAAATAATTTCCTGCCTGCAGAAAAATAGATTGTCAAAATCTGGGGTTACTGCTTTGCCCGGGAGCCCGAGGAGTTTGATGGCTCTGTTTGGAGCCTGGCTGAGGAAATCGGAGCATTTCCCACAGGAACGGGCAGGGAGCAGGTGGCACTTTGGAACTTTGGGGATTCCTTATGAGTCATGGAGTTGGTAAGGCTGGAGAAGATCTCACAGAGTCCAACCATTGCCAGCACTGACCCTGTCCCCAGGTGTCACCTCCACAGGGCTGTGAAA